AAAAATGCGGAAGTAGCTTAATTTTAGACAGATAGAACAATAAAGAAAGGAATGTAAGTTCAATTTTAGAACTATATGAAACTTTTTTCTTCGTCACAATTTGCACTCCATTCCAAATTTTTTTATTATAAAACTAATATATTAATAAAATTTTAATACATTTTATAATTATTTTTAGATCAATATTGTTATATATTTAATTATTATTTATATGGATGTTGTCGCATATAAATGATACTTTTAATGTATCTGCGTGACAAACGATAAATAATAATCCTGCAAAAATAATTTTTTCCACAGATATTAAACTTATTATTATAGCTTCAAATATATGTTTCTTAATAAAGCAGTTAATAGCAGATAAATAGATGAATTTAATACACCAGTATAAAAGTTAATAAAAGACAATAAAAGTAAGATGGATAAAATAAATTAAAAATGAATAATTCATACCTAAATGTGGAGGTAATGGAATCGAGTAGGGACAAGATAATACTGAGAAGATGATTAGGGTTGATCGGAACGATGGACGATCAGAGTGGAGAGCGCGCTGAAATCGACGCGTATACAAACGCGCGCTAATTACTAACAACGAAAATTAGCGGTTAATATACACGCGTACATATACGGGGAACGGGGGGTGGTTTGATTGGGCCAATTCGAGGCAATTCCTGGCGATTGCTGATTTCATTGAGCTTGCGCTTAAGAGTGCTTGGCTCAGTGCTACGCCAACTGCCGACCAACAGAGACATGGATCTCTTCCTCGGGGTAACAAAAGTACCGTACACCTTACGCGATTATGATCGATCGGTCAACGCGCGAATCTCCCGTTCGCGATTTCGTCCAGTACTAATTTTTTCTACCTCTGGATCCTCCGTCAAGAAGAGTTCGTACACGAGAATGTCGGGAATGGCTTTCAATCTGCATTCTGCATTTCACAAATGAAAAAAGAAGCAGTGAAGAAGAATATGAGGTAAGAACTGATATTGTAAAATCCCGAGCAGAAGACAAAGTCATCATAATATCAAAATGTTAAAATGACTCTAAAATAATTATTAAAGTCACTTTTTGATTTGTCAAGATTCTTTAATGTCAAAATGATAATATTGTGATTCGTTCTTCTTCTGGGATGTTGCAAGTCTCTTGAATGTTTTTCTTACACTTTTTGCAAAGATTTTGATGACGGAATACTGATCGACAGGAAATTTTATACATATACTTCGCATCTCTGTGCTGCACTTAAAAATTTCAAACGATTAAAAAGATGACATAACCAAAAGAAGAAGAGGAATATAAACACACGTTAGGATGTTCGCGATGAGATTGAGGTAAGAAGATACGCGTTACGTACTCTGCATATTAATCACCTACGCCTTTTTAAACACATAGTTTGTTTTATCGTATATTGCAAATGAAAGAAAAAAAAAAGATTAGTTGCTATAATACAAATTTCTTCAATTCGAAATCGTCCAGATCTTCTAAAGATTCTCGAACTTTTCTCCATATTTCTTCCTCTTAATTTCCGAGTTTATCTCACGTTACGTATTACTTCTAAACGCAATCACAAAGGTATTGGCAAGGTGGAAAACGAATACGTTTACTTCCCACGAAACAGGAGCGATTCTCTTATTTCCCACGAGCTCCTATAGCGTGTAACCCTCGCACGGATGTTTGTACCTCGTGTCATCTCCACCCCCGTCCTCGCACCAGCAGATCAAGAGACATTTTTTGCACGCAGATCGGAAGGGGGAGAGATAATGGAGAAGAGGGGACAAGTCGTCTACTGATCACTGGGACCTGCTGAGACAGTGGAGCGAGGAGAACGATGGCGTTGGACCATGAGGGGCAGCATCACCGCGCCCGCATGAAGCTGGATTGGCCAGGGCCCCGGGTATGGGGGCGGTCTGGGCCGGCGTGACATGGAAAATATAAGCCTGTGTGAGTGGCGGCTGATTAGCCAGAGGCTCGGGACGTAGAGTAGTGGCGAGAGTGTCCCGATAGAGAGAAGAGAGGACGGACGTTCTCTCGTTTCGAGGGAGACGTCGGTCGTCGGTTCGGTCCAGTTCTTCCAAGGTCCACCGCGAATAATCGGCCGGCGCATCGCGCGAGTTAACGCCGCTTAAAACTAATCAAAATTAATCATAACCCAGGCAACAATTGATCGCAATTGCCAAGCGCGCGCTCCATTACGAGCAATCGGGCAATCTTTTTTCTACCGGCGGGATGTGGAAAGAATCTCGAAAGAGCCTCGATGAATAGGCGTGATCGATGCTAAGGTGTGAGACGGTGATCCCACCGAATCACGGATTTCAATTTAATTTCAAATCAACCGTGTTGATCGCTCGACTTCCGAAGATGTAAAATCGATAGAGAAGATCCAGAAAGGAAGCCTTCACGGAAGACAACAGAAGTGATTTGTGACATCCTGCTGTACGTTGGACTAAATCGATTAAAATTCGAAAATTGAAAGTTGATGTTCTGCAAGTCCCTTCATTAGAAATTGGAAAATAATTTGAATTTTTAATAAATTAAATATCAGTGCGAGCTGAACACGGAATGAAAATAAAGACTGTAACACGAAAAAAAAAAGAGCTAGTGGATAATTGATGATCAATTTAATCCAACATCTCTCTCGGAAAACCTTTCCCAGCATCTTATCTTTGGATATATATCTTTGGATATTCGATAGTGACATATTTCTCTGAGACCAAGAAAAATATACTTCATAGCGGAAACGTTGAAATTTTACGAAGCATGCGTCTCGCTTTGATTCTTTGAAGAAAGAAAAACTTTGAAAAAGGTTTCCCGTTTAAGGGATTACAGAAGAAATTTTCGAAGATGGACGGCGCACCAACATGGGACGATCCGCTTTTCTCGGACTTTGGGACTCCACGCGGAACCACCGGGAGTCACAGTATCCAGGTGATGCTGAGTTTGCAGACAGGCGGAGGTCATCATGGAAGCGGCGATTTGATGCCGACCGGCGGTCAGCTTCACAAACTGGACTCCTCCAATAGCCCGTCACCGCATCATCAGGCCGCATCGCAGCATCAGCATCACCTGCAGCAACAACAGCAGCAGCAGAAAGAGCTCAAAGAGCTTGAGTTGTCCGGCATGTATGCACCGTTGCCACCACAGACCCAGGACGTCACCACTTCAACATCTACCAGCGTCACGCCGACCTCGACGAGTCTCCAGCAGGGTCTGCAACTCGGTAACGCGCTCAAGAGGAAACCGGACGATCCAATCAACGCACTCGCGCCAGGTAACAATGCTTGATAATCTTCTTCGTCTTTCTTTTTCGTCATTTTCTTTTCGTAATGCGCTTATCTTCTTTTCTACATAAGTTGTCGAAGCTTTCTGTTACAGTTTCCTAATCTTATGTATAATCTTGCTAAACTTTATGATTAACAAAGACAAACAAATATTAACTTTGCTTTGCAGTCAGTAGCGAAGCGCAGCCAGCCAAGAAGGACTCGAAGAAGAAGACTGATAACAACAACATCAAAAAGAAAAAGACGAGGTACATGCATCCAATAGTATTGTTCGATGTTATATTTAAATATAAGTACTTTTTAAGTACCTTATAAGTTTATTATTAAAATCTCTTAAGTCTGTTAAAACATCAATATAATTTATTTACATTAAAATTATAGATAAATATATATATAAATAATAGAAAAATGTAGAATTCTCTATTTTTATATTTCAATCTCTTCGCTTTAGAACAACTTTTACGTCCTACCAATTGGAAGAATTAGAAAGAGCCTTCGAACGAGCACCTTATCCGGATGTTTTTGCGCGCGATGAACTTGCGCTGAAGCTTGCTCTGTCAGAGACTCGCGTGCAAGTTTGGTTTCAAAATCGCCGTGCGAAGTGGCGGAAGAAAGAACCACCTCGCAAGACTGCCAGTTTCATAGCCGCGGGTTCCGCCAGTCCCGGTTTACCAGGTAAAATTGCATTTTTACGACCCATACGTTCTTAAAAGTACGCACACACAAAGAAATAATAGAAAAAGATTTAAAACGCTACGAATTAATTCCAACACCTAATATATATTATTTTTATATATACATACAAAATTTTATATATACATATAAAACTATATTTGGTTCAATGCAACACACGAGTATTATAAATTTATCATAATTATGACTGTTTTTAGGAGACACAATCGATTCAAACGTCGTTCTATTCTTTTTGATGTTCAATGAATAACAAAAATAGAATGATATTGTTTCTTAAAAGAAAACAGTAGCTATATGTCCATATTAAACATGTTTAATTATAAATTATGAACTAATTTTATGGATTTACTGTTTCAGAATATTCGGCATATTGAAAATACAAATCAAACTTTCTATGAATATTAAGGCCGCTATCCGATTCACACTTACAACATTTAATCTTAGCTGTACACATTCTTTTTTTCTATCCTTGATATACACACTCCCTCGGGATTCCATCTTTATTCGTTACCATAACTTTCATAAAAATGGACGCACTTCAATTAATTTTTTTTTCAATCGATGGAAAATTGATTAAAGAAAAATCCATAATGTAAAAGTTGATAGAATTAAGCTTCAAGATACATAGGTTTAAAAAAAAAGAAAATTTCAGAAACACGAAAAATCTCGATTTAGCAAATTGCACTGGGGTTTTTGGAACTCCAATGTGTATAGTTAGAGTTAAGAATCATTTCATCCTTGTTTGTTAAATGTTAAAAACAAATAATCGATGTTCATAAGCGTTGTGAATATGAATCGATCCATGGCCTCAGCGTTAGCTTAGCTGGATATATTCCTACAAGCTTATACATATAGACTAGAAAAGATTTTCAAATCCAATTATTCTTCTATCATGAAATAAAATCAGCATAGAAACAATCATATTTATTATTGAAATAAAAAAAAATATTTTACTCTTGAACAAAAAATTCTTAAATTTAGAGTAATATAATCAAGCACATCAGAGGGTGGGGGAGGGGATAATATATGTATAAATTTAAATTTTAAATGTTAATTACTTTTTTTTCAAGACAGTATGTCAATCTTATTTAATTCGAGGGAAGAGAATAGAAAAAATATTATTTTAATATTATATTATTTTATTTTTATACTCTGTATAAGAGATTACGATAAGATGAAATACGACAAGAGAATATTATTTATCTCATTATTAAAAATCCTTTCTAATTAGAGGGTAAATTTTTTCCACTTATTGGTACATACATCCTATGTTTTCAGGCTCCTTTACGTCGCTCAACAATACTCTAAATCCGTTTGCGTCGCCGACGACGGCGACGGCGCCGCCGGACGCTTGGTACTCGTCGACGTACGATCTGGGGCACTTAAATTTGCTGAATCCGTCGAATTCGCCGTACTCGACCGCAGCGGCTGCGGCCGCAAGCTTCGGCAACAACGGCAGTGTCTCGTATTCGCCGTACGCGAGCATGTTGCCGACGCAGCACGACGCCGCGTTGTTCACCTCGCCGACTGCCGCCGGCAACACCATGCGAGTCCATCAGGATTACATGAATCCTGGTGGCGGCAGTAGCCCGCCGCCACCAGGTGGGCCTCTCACTCGTGCCGACTATCAGACCATGGTGACGACGCACTCGCCGCCCACCCACCTGGGTAACTCCATGTCCGAGGACGAGCACGGTGGTTGCCTCGCGGACAAGTATGCGCACGAGACTGCGGCCGATTACGGTCAGCAGCAACAACCACCGCCGCCGAACGATCAGAAGCAGGACTACGGTATGCACTCGCCACAGGCGCGCCAGGCCATGAAGGATCAAGTCATGATCAAGAGCGAGCCCGGCAGCCAGCCGAGCTACGTGCAGCTGCCTCCTTTTCTGAACTGACTCGCGGCCTCCTCCACTCTAGATCTCTTCTAGGCGACTTTTGCGATCTGTCCGGGTTTCGTGACGAACGCGAGGAGTATTAGATCTTGGACTTGTTAGGTCGCGCAATTTCAACCGGGCTCGCATCGGCGCTACTTATACATCATCTAGCTTCCGATGGCGAACAAGCAAAATTTGATTATAATATAAGGTTGAGATAGAAATAAATTTTATCAAAAAAAATGCTATTTAAATCGTGCAATGGGCATCGATAAGATCTTAAACGGTGCAGCATTTTAATTTTTTTTATGAAATAAGGATATGGATAATAATAGATCTGTATTCTTTTCAGCTAAAGTTCTCGCACGGTTCATTTTTCTTCCTTTTTTCTTCACATTGGAGAGAAAAAGAGAAAAGCTGAACCGTGCAAGAAGTTCAACTAAAAAGAACAGGTCTAATTTAAGCCTTAAAAATCTCGAGCTTGAATATTCGAACAAATTGATCACGTGATCACGTGATCACCTTGCGATAGCCGCGATGTTTCTGTATTCTGTACTTGTTATTTGAGTGATCGCGAGTAACATTTTATGTGGAAGAGTGACTTTTATCAAATTCCAATTAATTTAATCAGCAACTAACTTAACAAATAATGTACGTGTAATATTTTGTTAACATAGATAGAATGATCAATTTTTTATTTCATACATATAGAAAAAACGATCAATAGGAACAACAGATTATAATATAGTAAAAAAATTTACTATAAAATCAAATTAATTGTTGATTAAATTAGTCAGAATTTAGTCGCAGTCGTCCTAACGTCTACTTCTATATCAAAATATAGATTAACTTTAATCTCGGTTTAATATCTTTTTTTAGTTCTAAATATTAGAACTAGAGAGAACAAAGAAAAATAAAGAGGAACTTTTCTAAGATTAAAAAGAATTAAGTTCTTTTAGAACATAATCCTAATTTTTAAAACTATAGAGATAAAGATAAAAGATAAATTAAATCAGGAGATTAAAATTAATCTATTTCTATTAGATAGAAATGGATATAGATTGAGCATCTGTGAGAGAGAAAGAATTTCGAAGAAAAAAGGATATAAGAAAATGTATCCTGAGGGTATATAAAATATTTTATTTAATAGGAGAAGAGACATATATATTTATATAAGAATTTTTTTGTATTTTCGCCGCTCTTTGATAACTTCATACCTCGACATATGATTAAAAATACAAATTTGCGTAGAATTTGATAGAAATGAAGTTATAAACTAAAATGAAAAATTCATTCGTGGTAAAATTATGTAAAAAAAAACAAATCGCTTTGAGTGACATCTCACGATAATTATCGATATTTCGTTCGAAAATACTGTCTCTCGGTTGATAAGGATATATAAAAGATATTCTTGTACATACATATCTAATGAAAATATAATTTTCTTATATTTCTTATAACGTTACACCACATTAAAAATTATTCTATTTAGAAAAATAAATTTTTGAATTTTTTAATTCAACTAATGACGAAGAGAGAAAGAGAAGTAGTAAAAGGAAAAGAGAGAGAGAGAGAGAAAGAGAATGAGAGAGTGAAGAGAGGAAGAAAGAGAGAGTTTGAGCCAAATATGTTCAGATTTGTAATATAACTCGAGACAAAACTTTCTGTGCCTTGAATAACTGTAAGCTTTACGCGCAATGCCTTTGTATTAGAAAACAGTGAATCTTAATCGAAATAATCTCGCTTTATGTATCTTGCAATATTCAATTTCTATATAAAAATAATTTATAATAAATGAAGAAAATTGATATAATCTAATTCTCGTATCATAGAATACAAATTTTATGCGCATAGTATCCAAAGATAATTTGTAATAAATAAAAATCAACGAACTCGATGTAATATATATTTTCCGCATTATTTTTCATTTCATAGCCTCATTTGGAATATATTATTATATTTTTTCATGTCATTTTTACATATGTTCCATATGTTATAAATATACAATCTTTGTTTTCTGTAACATGAACTGCTGTAAAATATTCTGTACGAGTAAAAATGTTTATGTACATTATGTATATTATTGTTCCAACTATTTACATTAAGTATATTGTTATTGAATGCTACAACCTTACATCTATATTATTATCAACTGTTATTTTTCATATTGAAATTATTATTGATATCTTCTAGATTATCTGTACTATCATCAAATTTTTCTATAATATTTCTTTTTTTCAAAGATTGCTCCTTCATGTTCTGTTCATTGATCCAAACACCATCACCTGTGAAATGGTTATTTTTCTCCAACATATATAGACACAATGCGAGATACTGGCTATTAGTAAACGAGTACTCTACATTCTGAGAATATTGTCGTTTTAAATCAGCCAGTACTTTTTTCACTCTCGATCTGCAGAATAAAAAAAAAATGGAAATTTTATTAGTCATTTAATATCATTCTAATATTATAATATATAACAGAAAATTTACAAAAAAAAGAAGAAAATTTAATATTGAAAGTCAGAAATCGAAACATTAAGAATAATGTAAATTATTACTACTCTTTGTTGAATATTCTAAATTGTCTAATTTATATAAATAATTAAGTAGATATAATATGGCCGTTACTGTTCATAAAGTACGATGTGTATATTGGAGCATATTTCGTTTATCGTAAAATGTTTCTTTAAGTATTTTAACATCAGCATGATATCATTAAATGTAGCCATTTTCCAATGTTGATGCCTCATTAGTAACTTGCTTTTGTCTACTCCCAATTCCTGTATAAATATATGCTTTAAACTGCTTCTGGATGAAACTAAGCCGGTTTGTAAAGATCTAGAATAAATAAAATAAAAACAATATGTATACTGTACAAATAATATTTATCAAATATATCAAATCGTACATAGAGTAAACAATCAAGAACAAATAAGGTGTGGAAGTTAATAATTTGATCAATATTGAGATGTAGAAGAGATACTGCCACTGTACGAGGATGACTACGACCTAATGGATAGTGATGCATACCCATTAGGGGAGCCCAGCATAATGCCAGAAGAGATGGAAAGAGCAATAAAACTCTTAAAACAAAAAAATCTTCAGAAGCAGACGGGATAACAGCTGAGATCTTGAAAGTCATTGGAGAAAAAGGAGTGGATGCTATCCACAGAATATGTAACATTGTATGACAGATAACCATATGGCCCTTGGATTGGTTCCCATCTTTAAAAAGGGTTCATCTTTGGAATGCACGAAATAACAATAGCACTGATATCACTCTAGTAAAATCCTTCACATTATACATGGACGATTGAAATCGTTTTTTCTGCCCCAGATATCGGATGAACAAGCCGGATTTATCCCAGGCAAGAGTACGAGAGTGCATATGTCATGAGACAGGTTTTAGAAGAGTAGCAAGGAGGCATATCGGTTGGGGGAAGGAAAATTTGCGATATGCGGATAACACCCTCATCGACGAATGCAGAAAAAAATGGAGGACATCATGGATAAATCACTTTTAATAAGCGAGACACATGGCCTAACATTAAACCAAGGGAAGACCAAGGTGATGATAATTGATAGAGCACAAAACAACTTGCCGCACGTTCGGGAGGTAGCCGGATACGAGCTTGTTGATAAATTTGTCTACTTGGGATTACTCATCACAAACGATGGAGGATGCAAGAAAGAAATATGCTGAAGATTCAGTATGGCGAGTTAAGCTAGGAAGTCTGCCACAGTTAAGCTGGGAAGAATATGGAAGGACACTTCGATTATAAGAGTCACGAAGTTCAAACTAATGAATGCTCATTTTTCCAAGTTACGTATGCAACGAAGACTTAGACCATGAAGAAGGCTGATAGAAAAAGAATCGAGACTTTTGAGCTGTAGGTGTACAGACACATTCTGAAGATTTCGTGGACTGACATCACTAATCAGTCGGTGCTAGATGAGCTCAGGGTCAGTTTCAAACTGATATAAAAAATTAATCAATCATCTTTATCTTCAGTATTTTGATCATGTGGCGAGAGGTACAGGGACAATAGAGAGGCTAATTATTGAAGGAAAGGTGGAAGGAAATCCTAGAGGCAGATTGCCAACCAGGTAGGCGGATCAAGTTAATCGAATTATGAACAGGAGTTTTCATGAAGCCGAACAATTAGCTCAGGAGAGAGAAGTCTGACAGGAACTTATTCGAGTATGAAGTATCACTACATACTTTCGAAGGATTATGAAAAGAGAAGGGAGAAGACATAGAATTTCTCAATATTCAGAAACTATCTATAAATTCTTTTACTTGTCCATTGTTGGGCTTGAAGACAGGAACGTTTGTGGTTGGGCCCATTTCGAAGAATCCATGATGTTAATGTATTCTATACGTTGTTTTGTCTGCTTTATCCTGTATACAATTTGCAGCATTCGCGGATGCTTATACCACAAGTTTAGATTCGGGTGCTGTTTTATCATTTCTAATCGTTCTTGGAAGTCTTCATAACTTATTAGAAAAATATTCATGCAATTCTTTACATATTTATCCGGTATTTCATACTTCTTGAACAATTTCAGTAATCGTTTAACATTAACTGCATCTTGGAAAAGTATAAAGGGATATTTTCTCAAAAATGTTACAATTGGCATTCCTAAAGCTTCTGTAGAACTATTCAACAGCAATCTGATATTATCGGCAGGAGCAATGATAATCGAAGGATTATTTTGTATCTATTTAAAAAATAAATTTATGTAAATATATATTTTCTAATAGTAAAAAAACTCAAAAATATACTCTAAGACTTTGACTAAGATTAGATAAAGAAATAATTTAAAGCAAAAACTTAAAAAAAAAAAGAAAATCAAATAAAGACTCGCACTTGCTTTCATTCCTTTAAATTAAATTTATTGATTAGAAAAATTTATTTAGTAAAAATTCATACAATCAAATTTTTATTTACTAAAAAGCTATACTTACCATTTTTTCATCATAATGGAGATCAAGCCTGAGTACTTTCAACGTCTCTTCAATCATTCTTATACTCTTTATTTTTATGTAACTGTTCAATAATATGTTATCATCTAAATATGATAGATTGAATATCCGATTTTTGTAATACAAAAGACATGTCTGATAGTATTCCTGGACTGTCAATGTATCATGCAATTTGGAAATGTGTTTAGGAACTTTATCACCAAATATATTTGCAGCGATATTTAGTTCGGCTGGAATATTAACTTTATTTTTAAACTTTGATAATTTTGTGCGAAAATGATAGACTGTACTGCAATTTAAAAAATTATTACAAAAAATATATTCATTTCTCACAGAAAAATAAATTTTCGTCAATATGTAATCAACTTACTGGTTCAATAAAGATATACTTATAACTGGCACTCCTAATTCTTTTAATACATTAATTCTATGTTCTAATGTATAGTTTTGCAATTTCAGACAATAACGAAGTTTCTCCATAGAATCCATCTTAATATTATATTTCTGAAAAAAATAAATAAAATATTATATTTTGTTTACAAAGAAAAGATCGCATTCATTTTGAAAAAGAAATTATACCGCAAAGATCATACAAAAAATAAAATAAGAAACTAAAAATCTAAAAAAGTAAATATAAAGATTTTAAAAAGAAAAATGTTAAAGATATGCTTCTTTAAAATAGATAAATACCTATATTACAATTAGATAAATTATTCAAATTAAGTATTTTAGTTAGCAATTCTTTTTATCAATCTCTTGATTCTATTAATTTTATTATGAATGAAATTCATTAATAATAGAATTATATTATGAAAAAAAATTAAATTAATTATTAATCCACATACTATTTCCCTTTTAAAGAGAAAAAAAAATTATTTTTAATTACATCACAAAAAATTAGTAGGTTATATATTTGTATATCTTACCTGACATATCAAACAATTTTTTATTATTCGATGACGAGGAATATTAAAAATATTTTGGTACGTATCAAAAAATTGGTCTACATCAATAGAAGTTAAACCTAAGTTTGTCATAAGAATATTTCGAAATTCTTTCTGTTTTATAACAGACGATGTTTTGAGCCAACCTTGATAAGTGAACCTCATTATTAAAAAATATTGTATATATTTATATTTATGATTATTTTCTCAAATTTGATTTAATAAATGTTCTTAATTCATGGCAATCACGTGCCTCGAATATTCGACAGTGCCATAAATAAACTGAAATAACCATAACACATTTGTTAGGTTAGAATTCCAATCCTTATTTACGCAAATCTTGGAACCTAACCCTAATTAATTTATTTTGAGATGTGTTCCATTTCGTGCACGATGCATTTTATCCTTCTTTAATATTAAAGGTGAGCAGTAAGGATAAAATGATACATCATGTGCGCATCATGTGTGAAGCGGAACTTTTCTGGACTCTACAGTCTCATCCCAATACTTTCTTCAAATTCTAAAAGAACTTAACAGAACATGATGCCAGGACCTAAAGTAGTGGAACTAAAACACTGGATAGAAAATAGGAGTAATAGGAATGATAATACTGCAATAGAAGAGATGTATGGACAGTTGTCTTTTTATAATAAATGATTAAATTATTTATCTGATGACAAGATAGATAAAAAATCATATAATAATATAATGCAGTATATATATGATTGTGTGCAGATCAATGATAATATATTTTTTATAAATAAGCATTGCTGTCAAAGTATAGAGATTATAAAAGTATAATTGCATTCAGAATACATAGTTTGTCAGAATATAAAAAATGCATACTAACTAGAATGAGAAATTCATCAGATTTAAATCAGTATTTGTCAGTAGAATCTGCCGAATTACTATTAATAACAGATAATGTCATTAATATAAAATTGAAATTTGCAAAATACATAAAAAATACATGCAATTTAAAAAATTAAGGCCTTAGCAAAAACACATGTTTTATTTTTTACAATTTATATCAACAGCATTGCATCAGCCCTGTATTAAAAAGTAAATTATAATGCATGTTAGATATATAAAATGCTAATTGATATTAATTGTTGTTAGAAAATTGAGTAAGTTATCAGTTATTTTCTCTAAGTGAAATTTTTTTTATACAATACAGTTTTAAAAAGTTTATTTCAACGATCATATATAAACGCAATATGGAGGGGTGTGAAAACCATAGTGATGTTAGTCACTTAATTATGACTCTGAAAAATAAAAGGATTTTCTATATATTTGTTTCAGTACTGCACCAATGATCTCAAATCGATAAATTTAAAAAGTAACTTATATCACTATCGCTTTCATCCCCTTATATATTAATCAATATCAATTTTGTATATTGGTTTGTATATTTGTTATATTCGATTAATGTAAATTGTTTTATGTGTAATTATCAAATAACCTAATCTGTATTACATTAAGTATTTACATTAAAATATTATATTTGGAAATTTCTGTATTTTATTTGTTTTTTGAATATCATGTATTTGTTTTCATCTTTCTTCGAATAAATGTATACAATAATTAAATGTTTTTCCGTTTGGAGTTAATTGCATTTCAAATAGATTGCATTAGGTATTCATATATAAGTCAGTATTCAATCCGACAATCATTACTTCGAAGTTATCTATCAGAACAACATGTAATTTATAATTGAAACTCTTAAACTTCTCTTCAGATAGAAGACATTAATGATCGTTTGTGTACGTATTTACACTTCGGAAGGTTTAATTCGTAAAATCACAGGAACACTAGTGCATGGTAGAATCGCCAATTCTGTGACGACAGCCGTTACAAGATCGGCCGGTGTCACGTCGTAAGTAATGTTCAAAAGATTTAACGATTTCCTCGTTCGCCAATTGGAGAGTAAAGACTTTTTCGAACTACCATTTAATTGATGATTCACAAGATCATCTGCGTTACCTGAAACAAACGTAGAACGAAATGAATAAATAGTATTATAAAATTAAAGAAAATTAGATAACATTGGATAAGAATTATAATCATTTTTTAAAAATTATATAAATGTAATAAATGAAATATATTTAATACAAGACAGAATTATATATGTATAATATCAATTTACGTAAAATTGATATAAATAATACATATATGTAAAAACGCTACGAATTAATTCCAACACCTAATACATATATAACATATAAATGAAATACAATCTAGAGATACAATTTACGATTATATTTTATTTTGCCTTTTCATTTACCTAATTCATTGTGAACAATAGAGTCGGTCTGCACTCGTTCAGATGATTTGTGTGTTTCGCACGCTACTAAAACAGGAACATTAAAGGCTTTTGCCATTAAAGCAATCTGTGCCGTTCCTACTCTTGACATTACTGCTCCGTTAGCTAATATCGCATGGGCACCTAGAAAAACTTTACTGACCTAGACAAGTAAAATTATAAATCAGCTTAGCATCACAAATAGAAATTAAAAAATTAAAAATAGATATTTAAAAAATTTATATATTTCCACATTTGTTCTCAATATATTTAAAACAAAAAGAAATATTTATATATTTATATATGTTATTAAAAAATTATTCAGTTTTATAAATATTAAATAACTTCCTAATGCACAGAATCTATTATTGAGATATTTATGAATTAAATTTTTAGAAATAAATTCTTCAATTCATTGTGAGCATAATTACTTACTTCTGGCATAATGAAACTGAGAGCATTGATTAGTATATATGAACACTCAATCCCATGTTTCGCCAAACGTCTTAGCTGTTCTTTTCCTTCTAGCCACGGTCTACCATCGACCACAACCACACGAAACTGCTTGCCTGCAGCATGTGCCTCCACTAATATCTTATGAATTAAGGATGAACTGAAATGTATTTTATTTTCAGAAACAATATTCTGTTATATGCCTTTATTTTATCAAAATTCATAGAAATATAGAAATAAATATATTATATATCTTAGAAATAATAAATCTTCAAAAAATAATAAAATAAGTAACAAAAATATTTAAAATAAGACATAATAAATTTCCAAAAAAAGAAAATTTAATTTGGGTTATACTCTATAAATAGAGGTCATAAAATATACTCACTAGCCATATGTTAAAATAACATTTCCATCCGATATTTTACTCTGTATGGTTAAAGATATCGCTTTGTCAGCCAGCTGAATTTGTTCCGAGATGTAAGTATCTATTATTCCTTGTAACTTACTTTTTGCCTGTAATACATCATATTCAATAAACTATTAAGTATTAAGTCAATAACTACAAGAGACTTAAATTAAAAGAACATGCAATTCACAAATTCTCTTAAATTCCTCTTTGTTTCTTATATCTTCTTATTATATACATATATATTTAATTATATACATATATATTTATATACATACATATTTTATTTTATATTTATTATATGCATATATATTTAATTCTTTGATTTATACAAGTCAAACAGATTTGTATAAAATAGAATAATTAAATTAAAAATATGATATGATAAGAATAATAATATAAATAAATATATGATAAGAATAAAATATTACAAAATCATTTACTTTTTCGTCCGATAATGTAGATGAAAACTGTGTCATCTGCCACGTGAGGTGGCGCATAGCATTATGCATTGAGACGCCCAATGGTCTACAATGGCAAAGATACTTCAGCGATTCTTTCAAGTTTGCCTCGAGACCACGTATGAAATCTTCATGTATTGGCTTTTCGAAATCCTGGATCACCTGTTTGACAGCAGCTAAAAGCGCGACACATCTCGCGTTACTACCAACGATAACTTTATTAGCATACTGAACACCTAGTCTAACTATCGCTGGATGTATATTTGAGTTTACTGTGGCAATATTGAATAAAGAACGCTCCCTTTCTTGATATAAGTGTTTAAATAAATTAACAGTATGCGCATTTTCCCTCATTGTATTGTTCATGACACTTTTTTTCACTGGACATTCACTGGATACAGTTTCTACATGTGGTTTGAGAGATTCCTCACTTTTTATATTATTCTTTACTAACTGTTGCTGCTTGGCAGCTCTCTGAGCCTCTTGCTTAGCTCTTCGTTCTGCACGAAGCTCAGCCTTGCTCTTGCCTTCATTTTTACTTTCGGATGCATTGTTTTGGACATTCGAAGATTGAATTACATTTTCCTTCAAGACTGTAGGCGGTGAAATTGTTGCATCTGTTGCTACATTTGCTTTTGTATTTTTTTCTAAGATTTCACAGTCTAGTACTGCAGATTTACATTTAATTTTAATATTTCCTGTTTCTACTATCTTATTACCTTTTTCTGCTGCTACATCTGTTCTTGCATTTTTCGTTGAGATCTTACAATTGACTGGTGCTACATTTTTGGCATTGTCTACCTTATTAATCTTTGCTGCCTTAGCAGCAGTTTTAGCAGCCTTCTTTGCTTCGCGTTCCGCTTTGATTTCCTCTCTTGTTTTTTGCGAAAGATTCGGCTTCGCATTCGAGTTTGGTAAAGACATGTTTGTCCGTTGTTAGAATTAACGATTGTATATCTTTAAATTCTTCGTTTTTCCGAGATTTCGTTCTCTCTGTTGTTGAATATTTATAAACATCTGTCAGAAACTTAAAACACTATCCATTGACGACTCCAACAAATGTCAACAAACACAGTGAAAATGTTCGCATGTAGATTTCAATCTTGATCGTGCGACGTATTGTTGCATCAGATTTAATGAAAAACAGCGACTCGTTTTGGCAACGATAACTTTTGCTCGATCAGCTTGGGACTTCAAGCAGTAAAATTAATAAATTATATAATTTAATAAATTGCAGAAAACTATTTAATCTCTTCTTATTTAACTACTTTCACTTGATCGAAGTCAAACTCAAACCTGATTGAATATTTTCGTTGGATGCTTGAATCTCGTGAATTTCGAGCATACGCTAAACACATGTTCACAAACATAGACCTAGTATATATAGATTGCAGTCTTAAAGGAGAAAGAAGTCGGAATAACTGGACTGAATTGGATCGAGTTTTCACGCATGCGTGACAAAAATAGAAGACTAAAACGATGTGTAATGAATGATTTTAAGGTTCCATCCCTAAAATAATATTTATGATTTTAATATTTTACATAAAAATAGAATGGTTTCGAGAAGGACGTACTTTTGGATATGTTGTTTTTCTTCTATCTAGATGAAAGCAAAAAAATTTGAAGGTCGCTTCTGCTTTTTTAAATGAAATTATATGATTTTTTTTTAATATAGTATAATTTCTTTAATTATTTTATATATAAGTTTTAAGATGTAGATATAAAAATCAATAGTTTGAGGTATGTAACATTTTATATCAATATGTGTCAGAATAAAATATTGGGTCATCTAAAAAGTATCCGCGGTTTTTTGTCACTAGATGTGTGTTGATGGTCATGTATCTAGTGACAAAGTACCGCGGATACTTTTTAGATGATCCAATATATATTTCATAAATTATTGATTTTCTGATATCTTTATCTAATGTATATATACAGGATGTCCCAAAATTCGTGCATTCGGAGTACAGGATACAATACATACTTTATACTAAACAAACAACTTTTTCCTTTTGCAAAATTGCGTCTGACAAATTGCTTTTGCAGAAGAGTGGGGCACCTATTCTTGAAAAAAAGAAATATGATGAAAAACTAAAGACATACTATGTATCTATAACGTATACTATATTTTCCTACTTTTTCGTATACAAAGTTTCTTTTCAAGAATAGGGGCTTAGGTTGAAGTTATATGAGTAAACGCAAAAATTTATCGAAATTTAATTTTGTTAAAGGAAAAAGTTGTTCGTTTTAGCATAAAGTATCATGTTCTATACTTCGAATTTGCGAATTTTGGGACACTCTGTATATATATGTATATGTACAATAATTTATATTTGTTATTATTAGTTACCAAAATCTCAATTATATTTGTCAATTAAATTTCTCAATTATATTTCATTTTCCTCTTTTTCAACTTATTTTTCTTTTTTCACTTTTTTCTGCGATAGATAATCATATACTCTTTAGTTAATAACAATTGTCAAATAAAAATTTTATTTTAAGAGAATTTGTTTATATTTTCTCTTTTTTTTTTATAACATTAATATTTTTAATTTATGAAATCAATATAATTTTATAGCTAAAAAGACCATTATATTTTCTGAGATTGTTATCTACTTGTAATTAATCTCATTTTGTAAAACATTTTAAATGTGTAATTTTTCCAATCTCCGAATTATTTTATTCTTTTTGTATAATTATTTTTATAAGTTTTTGAATTAATTCTTTTGGACAAACTCTTAAAGAAAATAGATTCCCTTCAATGATTTTTTTCCATTTTATTTATATAATTTTTACTTAAAATACATCGCATAGTTTACTTCTTTGCGGCATCGTCCTCACGTTGATACGATTGCAATAGTTCTTGTTTCTTTGACGCAATGCGCTCCGCACGACGTTTACGAGCTTCCCTGACCTTGGTGCGCCGAGCTTCAGCCTGATCGGACAACATTTCAGCACGGGCCTTTTCTGCCTTCTTCTTGTGGATGAACTCCATCAATACTCGCTTATTTTTGAAAACATTACCTTTAGCTTTCATGTATAGCGAATGATACAGATGTCTATCAATCTTCTTCGTTTCACGATATTTCTTTAAAAGGCGACGAAGGACTCGCATCCTTTGAATCCAAAGATCCTGTATGATGTATGTAAATAATTACATATACTCTTTACAAATGTGTAATGATTTTTTTATTAATATAATAGAGACAGAAAATAATGAGTGCGTTCAATGTGATATTCGCAATGCTTGCAAGTATCAATTTCATCCTTGAAATTTGATAAACTAATAATAAATAATTAGATAAAATAATGTTCGCGAGTAACGTTATCATAAACGTTAAATGAAATGCATTCAATGTAGCATAACGTTATAAGGTTTAATGCACAATTTAAAAGCACAGCTATACACAGGCAATAGCAATAGATTTCAGACAATCTATAAGAAATCATATGTACCAGAATACATGATTTCTGACAGAATTGACAAAAACTGTTTAATTATTTTTTTTTTAATAAATAATGAAATGTTTCTTTTTAAACATGTTTTTAATACTTCAAACATGCTTTAAACTGTATTATTAACAAAATATGTTAAAAACATCAATTAAGTATGTTTGAAATTGTTAAAAACATATTTAAAACTTTTTTTATCAACATTGGTTTCTGATAATTTCAAATTTATTATTTCTTTTTTCTCTATCTATGCTTTTCAATTGTGTGTCAAGTTTAATTACTGGAATACACGTACTTTTTGGGGTGTACGTGCGTTCGCCGTACCCTTTCTTTTACCAAAACCACAATGACGACCTTTGCGTCTAGCTTCAGTATTCTTGCGAACGCGAGCTCTTGAATGTACAGCCACAGGCTTCTTAATAATAAGACCATCCTTGATCAGTTTTCTAATATTTTGTCCTAAAAAATAATAAATAAAAAAATCTTTATATATATATATATTATATTGGGTCATCTAAAAAGTATCCGCGGTACTTTTACTCACTAGATATATGACCATCAACACACATCTAGTGACAAAAAACCGTGGGTACTTTTTAGATGACTCAATATATAAATTAAGAAAAAAATGTAACAAATGTAATTTTCTTGTTCAATATTTAGTTCATAAACTTTTATAATTTTTGCAAAAAAAAAAATGCAAATTGCAAGGCAAAACGCAACTTACTAGAATTCGTATTCGCAATTTCATTAATTTCGTTCGGATCCAACCAGACTTTCTTCTTGCCACATCGCATAACAGAGGCTGCTAGCCTCTTTTGTAGCTTCAAAGAGCTGCAACGATAAAAGTGAGGTTATATTCATTACAGAATTTATCGTGAAACGTTTATAGGTGAAACATCGTGGAGAGAAAACTACATATTCCCTCAAAATTCTATCAACAACATTTATCGACATAACGAGGGAAGTTGCATTTACAAAAACGTTTTGTAAAAGACAAGGCCCATGTGCTCCGTAGATCGCGAACAGCAAATGATATATGACGGAAATATTTTTAATTCCCATCGCAAAATCGTGCTTGTATATGCGATCGGATTTTAGCGATTCATATGACGATTCTACATGCATTTAATTGCTTATACTTGTCAAAATAACGTTTTAAATTGCAATGAACAAACCTCATGTTGTTTTCCACAAGCTGTCTTCTGTAAAAGAGACATAAGATCGTAAGATGGCTGACGTTACATTTTCTAATTCCTTTCTCAAGAAAAAGTAAAGCCGCCTTTACATGGTGGCGAGCAGCGTCTTGTTCTATGATCGGATTGGTTGTGGAGGAAAGTCTGTTCGCGAAATTATTAAAAAAAATTGATTCTTTTCAAAATATAATTAAAATTTAAAAAGAGTTTATTTAGAAAGCACATTAATTATGACATGATAATAAAAAAATAATAATTATAAAGATAGTTTGTTGTATGATTTTACAACTTTCTCTTATATAACTCTTCAAAATTATATTTTCAAACTCAGTCCAAATAAAATAATAGGTATGCAATGCAGAGAAAAATGTGGATGTTTAAACGCATTTGAGAATAAAAAAGTTTGGTTATAATTTGTGATATTTTCCGTATACACACCACACACACATACACACACACACACACACACACACCACACACCACACACCATACACACGCACACACACATATAGAAACTACATACTTTCTATCTCTACTTTATTATCTTTATTTTTGTTTATAAAAAATGCGCGATTATTAAAATAAACAGATATAATTAACAAAATAATCTTAATAAGATTACAACATCAAATTTGCAAAGTTTAATTCATAGTGAAAGAAACCATGGGTTAATCATGGTTTAATCAATAATTAAACTATGGTTAATCAATGATTTACGATACAAAAAGCCGATATGATTGACCCTCTAGCTTTTTACTAAAACCGTGGCAAGAGTTTTACGCCCTCTGCACTAAATACTCTCGTGATGGGCTTTATTTATTTACTACCTAAAGCGAATTTATAATTCGAAACATAATCCAGTGAAAGAGACCAAAAAAGACATATTTTTTTCCTCGTCTGTGCAATCCTTACGTCGCTTCTGCGATATTTGAAGATAACATCGGTAATGTTGCTTTTGTAACGAGATGTAATTTCATGCTCTTCGCAATACGCCGAATGCATTTTCGGTACCTCTTTTTGTCCTACTAAAAACACAAATAATGACACATTTATTTTATCGCTTTTATTATGCAACTTAATGTAACCTGTGAAATAAACTTTCTTTCCAATTACGTTTACATTACAGCATATATATGCTTAGCCTATTAAATGGAGAAATAATAACACAGCTCTTTTTGCGATATCTTAGCAGCTTTTATTTTTTTACTTTTTTTGTTTGCTTCTATCAACGTAAGATAATATTCTTTAATTTAATCACATAATTTCTTCAAAATTAAGATCTTAGTGGACAATATAATTTCTATATTTTTATCAAGAATATGTAGTTCTTCATCGTCTTCTTATAAAACTATTTTTTGAGATTTATTATCTCTCATTCTCTCTTCTTATTATCTCTTCTTTTTTCCTCTTTTATTTCTTTTTTTCTGAATTTGATTATAAATAATTTCATAATAATTGGGTTAATTTTGAAAAAAAAACTAATCTTCTGATTAACAGTTAAGGTACTACAAATTGTATAGACATTCCAAGGTACTTTTCTAAAATCTTTATAGCTGCAAGTTTATCCAATTTTATTAAGCACAAGAGTTCCTTATTTATATGTCAGGATATTGTTGCTAAACTGTATGTAGTTACATTGATTTAGTATACTATTATACTTTGCATGATGAGTTTCAATGTTTACTCTTTATTATTTTCT